GTACTGGGCTTAGTGATGCTTTCCTAATAAATAGAGTATGGAATGGGAAGAATACTAAGTTTATGGTAGGGAAACTTTAGCAGATGCCTCCTTACCTTAGTCGAGTGTTCAAGTTAACATGACCAGTCATGCTTACCATACTGTGTGATGCGATGAGATGAGTACCTTACCTTTGTAGTATTTTCCTTTCAAATTTATCAGTATTGTGCAACTTGGAAGACAGCAAACAAACCCATACTGAGTGCCATTCTACAACCTACCTGCTCAGTATGCTGCAAAAATGTTGAGATCATAAAAGATAAGGAAGAAAAAACCAAGAAACTTACAAATCAGAAGGACTAGGGAAAGAACTAAATGCAATGTTATATCATGGATTGGATAGTGGAACAATAGTAGAAAAACCAGTGGCATTTGTATAAAGTCTGTATGTGGCACCTTACATTATTTCAAAAGAAAAATACTTAAAATCCATTAAGGAGGTTACCCTTCCCCTTCCGCTTCTCCCCACTGAAGGAAAGGACTAAGATGATAATCTTTGAAACGGGAAAAGACTGTTACCTCTTTGATTTCCTTCCCTCTTCCCTTCTTTTCTTCCTTCTTCCCCCCCCCTTTCCTTTTATTTTTATTATTACTGTGCTGGGTGGAGGTATATCGGAGTATTTGCAAAAGTTCTTACAATGTATCAAATATATAATGTTTGAATTCACCCCCTCCACTGCTCTCTTTTATCCCCGTCTCCCCTGATTCCAGGAACAGTTTCAGCAGGTATTATTTTTTGCATCAACTTACATGTGTGTACATTATTTGTGCCATCTTCCCCCGCTCCCGATGTCACGCCCCCCACTTGCAGAACCAATTTCCATTGGTCTTCATGTCTGTTTTTGTGCCAGTACCATGCTGTTTTTATTGCTATGGCTGTGAAATGTATTTTGAAGTTGAGTATTGTGATACCTCCAAGTGTTGCTCTTTTTGGTCAGTAGCGCCTTGGCTATTTTCAGTCTCTTGTGTTTCCAAATGAACTGTAGCGTAGATTTGTCAATCACTGTGATGAATGTCATTGGGATTTTGATGGGAATTGCGTTGAACACGTAGATTGCCTTTGGTAGTATAGACATTTTTACTATGTTGATTCTGCCAATCCATGAGCATGTGAGATCTTTCCACCTTTTGTATTCTTCTTTGATCTCTTTTTCCAATGGTTTGTAGTTCTCCTTGTAGAGGTCATTTACATCCTTTGTTAGGTTTATTCATAGTTGTTTAATTTTTTTGATGCTATTGTAAATGGAATTATTTTCCTATATTCTTTGTTCATTGTTGGTATATAGAAAGGCTACTGATTTTTGTAAGTTGATTTTGTATCCTGCCACTTTTCCAAAGCTATTTATGGTGTGTAGGAGTTTTTGGGTGGAGTTTTTGTGTGTTTAAGGTACAAGATCATGTCATCTGTGAATAAGGATAGTTTGACTACTTCTTTACCTATTTGTATTCCTTTTCTTTCTTCTTACCTTATTGCTGTGGCTAGGAATTCCAGGACTATGTTGAATAGGAGTGGGGAGAGTGGGCATCTTTGTCTTGTTCCTGACATTAGGGAAAATGGTTTCCATTTTTCTCATTAAGTATGATATTGGCTATAGTTCTGTCATATATAGCATTTATAATGTTGAGGTACATTCCTTCTGTTCCTAGTTTCCTCAGAGCTTTTATCATGAAATGATGTTGAATCTTATTGAAGGCTTTTTGCATGTCTATTGAGATGATCAGGTTGTTTGTCTTTGCTTCTGTTAATGTGCTGTATTACATTTAATGATATGCGTATGTTGAACCATCCCTACATACATCAGATGAAGTGGACTTGGTCATGGTGAATGATCTTTCTGATATCTTGTTGGATTTGGTTTGCCATTTTTTTATTGCGGATTTTTGCATCATGTTCATTAAGGAGATTGGCCTGTGGCTCTCCTTTTTGTATGTGTCCTCGTCCAGTTTTGGGATGAATTGTAATACTGGCTTTATAGAATGAGTTAGACAGTGTTCCTTCTGTTTCTATTTCTTGGAAAAGTTTAAGGAGAGTTGGTATTAGTTCTTCCTTAATGATCTGGTAGAATTCAGCAGAGAATCCGTCAGGTCCTGGACTTTTCTTTTTTGGGAGATGTTTTATTGCTGCTTCAATTGCATTATATGTTATAGATCTATTTAGGTGATTAATATCCTCTTGGTTCAGTTTTGGATGGTCATAAGCATATAGAAATTTGTCCATTTCTTCTAGATTTTCCAATTTATTTGAATATATATTCTTAAAGTAGTCCCTGATGATTCCCTGGATTTCCTTGGTGTTTGTTGTTATTTTCCCTTTTTCATTTCTGATTTTACTAATTTGGGTCTTTTCCTTCCTCATTTTAGTTAGATTTGCCAGGGGCTTGTCAATCTTGTTTATTTTTTCAAAGAACCAGCTTTTTATTTTGTTGATTCTTTGTATGGTTTTTTTGGACTCCATGTCATTGATTTTGACCCTTATTTTTATTATTTCTCTCCTTCTGCTTGTTTTGGGTTTAGCTGCTTTTTTGTTTAAACAGAAAAGTATGTAGTTTATTTTTCATAATCACAACAATGTTATTCTATAGCAGTTTTTCAAGAAACGCATTTTGATACTTGATAGAATATAGTAAATAAGGACAATGAGAGAAATCTGGATAGCGTGCCAGCACGTGAAGGACATAGCTGTTATAGATGATAAAGAAATATTTGTGTATTTAATAGCATGATGTGTCCTAATATGTGCTAAGTAGTGTCTTAGAAATCAAATGTGAGTATGACATACAAGGTCTTTGAACTTCTGAATTTTGTACTATAATGTCATAGAAACTTTTATACTACTTTTTCAAAATAATCCTCATTTACCAAGAGGCTTACACTATTAATCAAAGTCTTGAGTGGTTATTTTGAATGTCTATTTAAGTAAAAATGTGTATATGAATGAAAATATTTTTAGTATATTTGATCAAATTAAAATAAGAAGACACTTGGGAAATGTTAGCATGTCTTTCTTATTTTTCCAAAGTCAATTGTTACTGTTTTAAATTTTAATCTTTGGAAATCATGGAAAAGAGACGAAATGGATTAATTCCAGTGAGTAATCTGGAAAAATTTCTTCACTGAAGAATTTTGGGAGTTTAAATTCTTGAGTAATTTAGGCTGAAACATTGCAGCACAGGATTAAGTAAAATGATAAAAGCTCAGTAGAAGAGGAGTCTCACTTCTCTGACATCAGCAAGCAGAGAATGGAGGAGGTAGTGTGGTACATGAAGGAATTCGTGATCTCACTGGAGGAACCATTTCATCTAGCGACCTCTGGTTGAAATTTGCAGTCTTCTGAGTTGGATTTTGAACTCAGCTTTGGAAATAATGACTCTTGAGTTTGGGACAATCCCTTCTAATTTGGGGTTATTTTCTCCTGTCCTTTCTTGTCATGGCCTGTAAGCTCACCTGGCCTGGAACCTTCACTTCTGATACATGTGTAGTGCCTTCTGCCTAGGAGTTTGAATCCAGAGATAGAGGCTCTTTATAATTTTATGATTCTTGTCAACTGCCTGAAGAAGTCTTCCTCCTAATTGCTTCTTTGATGGAAAAGCCCAGGCTGGTGTTTCATGCAGTGGAAAAGCAAAAGAAAGATAACTGATTAAATTTAACTCATTAAAATTCAGGGCTGTTTGGAATGATTATGTAGAAAAAGGTAGTTTAAAAATGATTAAAATGTAGCAACTTCTTTGTATCCTTTTTTTCGTATTTTTCCTTCTCTCACACACATACACAGATGCACACATTGGATGAAGAATCATGGGAAAGATAATGATGCTAGCAATAATTTTCAAGTTGTTGGTATTTTGTTTAGGAAAACTTTATGAACACATCCCACCAGTATATAGCATTAAATATTGTTGTAAATTCTACTTGCTTTAAAATAAAGAGATACTATCAATCATCAAAATCATTTAATGAATACCTGAAAGGCATTATAATTTTAATACTTTATCAGTATCAATGATCAGCAATAATAATTGTTGAATTTTATTGCATATTTGTTATTTACCAGGTATTGACCCTTGTATTTGTACAAGTATCAAACTGTTTAGTTTTCCACACTACTCTTTAAGGTTGTATTATCTCTAGATGGAGAGGCATTGTTACTCAATGGTAAAAAGCAAACAGCCTGAATTTACATCTTGTCTCTGTCACTACCTAGGTGAATGATATTGGGCAAGTTATTTAGCTCCTTGTGTCCCAATATCCTTTTTGATAGGATGGGCTTAATAACTCAGAGAATTATCATGAGAATTAAATTACGCATTTAATATATGTAATGTATTTGTTTAAGACAAGTAAGAAGAAAAATGCCAAGATCTTCTAAATCAAACCCAATGACAGTATCATCATTGTACTTATATCAGATTATTATTTATTTTAATGATGCTTCTGTGCCTTTTTTAGAAAAGAATGCTTTTCTATACATGAAGTGTAGTTTGAATTTCCTTTATGCTTTGTGATAAAATGTCATCTACATTGTGATAAGCATGTTTCTATATTGTGGACAATTTTTTTTAGAATTTGAAAAACTAGTGAGTTAGTTTTGGTGTTATGTCTAAATAGTTGAGCAAATCATGTAATTCTTAAATACTATTTTATTTCACTATGTGTAAACTTTGGTTGTTTCCAAGACAACTGTCAGCTGTCTAGGGTCTCTAAATGTGTAACAAGATTTCCAAAGATGGGAAAAAAATAAAACTAAGTGGAAAATGATGAGAAAGATAAGGAAGTTGTTTATATTTGACCTCCACTGGCATGTTCTTATTCTCTTCAGTGAATCAGCAGGTTATAATTTATTTGTAGACTTTGTGCTACTTATAACTCATTCTCTTCAGCCTTTTCCTTTGTAAGTCCTTGTAGTAACTTTTAGTTTTATACATATTCTAGAATAATACATTTCTCTACATTTTTTATCCTAGACATTGAAGAAACAAGAAGCAAAAACAGATGAGAATGAGGGAATAATGAAAAATAAGCTACAACAAACTGAAACTGAGAAGAGTCAAGTAAGACTTAAGTTATCTTTCTTTTTTTTTTCTTTTATTATTCATGTGTGCATACAAGGCTTGGGTCATTTCTCCCCCCTGCCCCCACCCCCTCCCTTACCACCCACTCTGCCCCCTCCCTCTCCCCCCCACCCCCTCAATACCCAGCAGAAACTATTTTGCCCTTATTTCTAATTTTGTTGTAGAGAGAGTATAAGAAATAATAGGAAGGAACAAGGGTTTTTGCTGGTTGAGATAAGGATAGCTATACAGGGCATTGACTCACATTGATTTCCTGTGTGTGTGTGTTACCTTCTAGGTTAATTCTTCTTGATCTAACCTTTTCTCTAGTTCCTGGTCCCCTTTTCCTATTGGTCTCAGTTGCTTTTAAGGTATCTGCTTTAGTTTCTCTGCGTTAAGGGCAACAAATGCTAGGTCGTTTTTTAGGTGTCTTACCTATCCTCACCCCTCCCTTGTGTGCTCTTGCTTTTATCATGTGCTCAAAGTCCAATCCCATTGTTGTGTTTGCCCTTGATCTAATGTCCACATATGAGAGAGAACATACAATTTTTGGTCTTCTGCGCCAGGCTAACCTCACTCAGAATGATGTTCTCCAATTCCATCCATTTACCGGTGAATGATAACATTTCGTTCTTCTTCATGGCTACATAAAATTCCATTGTGTATAGATACCACATTTTCTTAATCCATTCATGGGTGGTGGGGCATCTTGGCTGTTTCCATAACTTGGCTATTGTGAATAGTGCCGCAATATACATGGGTGTGCAGGTGCCTCTGGAGTAACCTGTGTCACAGTCTTTTGGGTATATCCCCAAGAGTGGTATTGCTGGATCAAATGGTAGATCACAATGTGTAGCTTTTTAAGTAGCCTCCAAATTTTTTTCCAGAGTGGTTGTACTAGCCTACATTCCCACCAACAGTGTAAGAGGATTCCTTTTTCCCCGCATCCTTGCCAACACCTGTTGTTGGTAGTGTTGCTGATGATGGCTATTCTAACGGGGTGAGGTGGATTCTTAGTGTGGTTTTAATTTGCATTTCCTTTATTGCTAGAGATGGTGAGCATTTTTTCATGTGTTTTTTGGCCATTTAAATTTCTTCTTTTGAGAAAGTTCTGTTTAGCTCACTTGCCCATTTCTTTATTGGTTCATTAGTTTTGGAGAATTTAGTTTTTTAAGTTCCCTATATATTCTGGTTATCAGTCCTTTGTCTGATGTATAGCTGGCAAATATTTTCTCCCACTCTGTGGGTGTTCTCTTCAGTTTAGAGACCATTTCTTTTGATGAACAGAAGCTTTTTAGTTTTATGAGGTTCCATTTATCTATGCTATCTCTTAGTTGCTGTGCTGCTGGGGTTCCATTGAGAAAGTTCTTACCTATACCTACTAATTCCAGAGTATTTCCTACTCTTTCCTGTATCAACTTTAGAGTTTGTGGTCTGATATTAAGATCCTTGATCCATTTTGAGTTAATCTTGGTATAGGGTGATATACATGGATCTAGTTTCAGTATTTTGCAGACAGCCAACCAAAGGTAGGGAGACAAAGAAGAAAAAAGAGTCTGGAGACAGTTCTGAGAATGGAATCTGCAGCTGTGGCTTGCCTGCCTGCTGCTGTCAGCCTGCTGTTGCTGGAGGCGTTATTTATGCAGATCTCTATGGTGAGCTTAGCACTAACTTGGCCCTGCAGGCTTTGTTTGCTCAGAGGTCTCCTGTGCGGGAGCCTCTGCTACAGGCTTTCCCCTTTCCAAGCACCGGGAAAGGTGACACTGCCCCCGCGTTGTCAGGCCTGCGTGTTTATTTACAGTTCATGTGGGAGGTGGGTCTTCCCCCCTTTCCTGTGCAGTTTTCCTCCCACCTCCGCTTTCACAAGCTTTCCTGCTCCTGATTACTGGGCGGTGCTGCTGCTCCTGCCAGCTGCCATGTTTGTTTACAGTTCACATGAGAAGTGGGTCTTCCCTCCTCTCCTGTGGAGTTTTCCTCCCTCCGCCACTCTCACAAGCTTCCCTGCCCCTGGCTGCTCTGCGCACGCCCCAGCTCCCGCCAGAGCCTCTCCGGCCTGCCCGGCTTGTTTATTTACAGTCCCGGGAAGGATTCCCTTCCCCCAATCTTCAGCGCTCAGTGCGCCCCACCCTCTTTCCAGCGTGTCTTTATTGCTCTTATTGCTTATTATTCAGTTTCTCTTTTTTCCCCGGGTGGAGGTCAGTCTGTCCAGGGGGCTATGCTGCTCTGGCCCAGGCTTGTCTGTGAGAGTACTGCAGTACTGCAAAGCTCACCTGGTCTGCGTCTTCCCAAGCTGTCTGGGTGCTGGCGACGGGCGCCCTGGGGGCCCTCCTTGCGGAGATTCTCTGCGCCGGCTGGAGGTGTGGAGGGGTCAAAGTTATGCCTTTTCTCAGTGATTATGCCTGCAAAGTGTGTCTCCAGCATCTCTCCAAGATTTCACTATAGGAGGCTCGCTTTCTGCTTCCTCCCGCTATCCCCCATCTTGGAATCCTTTTAAGTTATCTTTCAAAGACTAATGCAGTTTTGGGCCAGTGATAGATGTTGAGTGCCTTGAAAAGTGTCCCTGAGATCATTTATTAAAATATAGTGAAACCTTTCTATGCTTGGATGTGGAGTTGCTTGAACCAATGGCTCTGCCCTTCTTTACTACTTTCTCTTGGAAACAGCAGGTTATTTGCTACCTTATCATGTAAGGATACTCTCCTTTTTGAGAAGTGAATTAAACTACCTTTCCTTGCTGGAGATCATTTAAGGGACTGTGTTTGTTGTAGTTTAGAGAAGACATTATGTGAAGGCTGGATGTTTTGGATATGTTCATTTTATTTAGAGAAGATAGGTGTAGTTAGCAACCTTGTTCTGAAAGTATCCTCTCTTCTCCCTAGGTATTAAGGACCTTTGTCATATTTTCACTTCTCTGTACACATGGAGCCCAGCAATTTAGCCTTAGAAAGGAATTCAGAGACCAAACAATTCTTAATTTGCAAATGAGTAGATTTAAGAATGAGCCCAAGATAATGGGAGTAAAAATGTGCTGCTGCTTTTTACTCTGTATCATTTTTTCTGTCTACCCTTACAAATTACATTTTATTTTGTACACTTAAGTAAAATTAAATAATTCTTCACACTTCCTTTGTGTTAAACAAGCCATGTCACGTCCTTAGACTTGCTCTTTGGGAGTTGAGACTGCTGATTTTACATGGGATTGTGACCAATATGGGTCTTGTTTGAGTTCAAAGTGTGATTTCTTCCATCTTTAGTTTTTCATAGAATTGAGAGAAAAGATTGGACAATATTTTGTGTGGATTTGATGATACCACATATACTTTACTTTTTTTAAATGACATTTATTTTATTGGCCGTGTATAATTTTAAAGAAAAATTACATAATTGGATTAAAAATCTACTTTGAAATAATTATAGATTTATAAAATATTTCCAAACAAGATGTATACAGCAGTTCCATGTACCTTCCTCTTAGTTTCCCTCAATGGTAATGTTTTGCATGATTACATTTTAATTTCAACATTAGAAAATTGACATTGGTACATTCCATAAATGTTATGCAGATTTTACCAGCTTTGTATGTGAGTGTGTGTGTAGTTTTTTCCACTTTTTATCTCATGTGTAGATTCCTGTTACCACTGCTACAATCAAGATACAGAACTATCCCATTACCATGAAGCTCCCTCATAATCCTTGATAGGCACACCTTCCACATGGGCAGTTTTTAAAGGAGAGCAATTTGTTCAAGTGAAGTGATAATTTAAGACAACTATTATAAGTCCTAGCACTTTAAAACATCTTAATAAAAATTTGTTACTTTACAAAACAACGTACTGTTACAAAATGCAAACAAGTATGGCATATGTAAGCCCTAAATTATTGCATTTTTCAACTTGAAATAAAGTAGGCATATTTAAACTTTTAGGGTATTTACTCACCTAATTGGCCATATTTATCTAATGTCTGTATTATTCTTGAAATTTTCATTGTCGTATTTGAATTTAGAAATTAAAAGATTTAGGAATATCTTACATGTATCAGGACTGTAAGAAATCACCAGTTGCATGAAATGTACTTTGAATCATTATTTCCCAGCAATTTTATTTTAGTAAAATTGACACTACACACTCTAAAGAAAAAGTTGCTTTAGAATTTTGATGAAAATTATTTAGAAGTGGAAGGACTTCAAGAAACTAATAAAAATCCGTATTTTAAAGTTGAATGCAGGCCTAAAGAGAAGAGACTTTTTAATCAGATCTGACTAAATTTCAGACTGTTATCAGGTCTGGTCTAGTTCATTTTATGCTATGTACTTAACATTATTATAATGGAAGTATTCATATATCATTATGGTGAATATTTATTCTTTACCATTAGCTGTAAAAATGTCTTAAGAACATTTTTGCTATTTTCCTCTTAAATTATGCCTCATTGGACTTACTTTTTTTTTCTCCTCCTTTTTAAAAGTTTAAAATTTTTTATTGTTTTTACATTCATTCCTGTCTTGAAACTCTAGCTTGAACAGGAATTGGAGCTATCTCGCAGGCTGTTGAGTCAATCAGAAGGCAATAGAGAAATGCTTTTGCACCAGGTAAGTGTGTACAAGGTATGACAATCTGCCGTTGCATTAAATTGGGTTGAGTCTCCTCTCTTAAATGTCTTTGTAAGAGGAAAAACCAGGTCTAGAATTTTTTTCCCTTAGGAATGTATGTTAGCACACATAAGCAAAATATGAAGATGCAGGAAAAACCCAAATAAAACACCAGCCCAAGTTCCCACTGTGACAATGTATTGATTGCTGCTCCAGCTTACACTTACCTCTCTAAGCATGAACACTGTAAAAGACTGGATGTGTAAGATAAAATTTTCCCAGGAGCTTAATTTTTTTCAAGGGGGCTCTGGGGAATAAAGGAGGAAGGAAAATACATTAAATTGATCTTTGCATGTTCAGGTTACTTTGAATATGTCCTGTCTTTTGTTCATGTTTTCAAGATGCTACCTGGCCCTGTTATAACTAAAGATAAGGCTTAAATTTTTAGCGTAACATTTTAAAGTCCATTAGGCTTTAATGGGAGTTTGGTGCTTCTGATATTTAAAGTTCAATAACTTTAAATAGCTATCTTGCATACATTGGATAAGGGTGTCTGGGTTTCAACTGCCTCTCTTCCTGTGCTTTATGCAAACCACAATGAGCCTTCCTCTGTTTTGAGATGTGTGTTACATAACTTACCTACATAATATGTTCTGTAGGCAAAGATGTCAGACATCATAGATGTTCAGAAAAAGCTTAACATTTTGACAATTGGTGCTGAAAATATAACACAGCACTTGTTTTACAGATCCTTTAAAACATTTGTTGGCTTTGTTTTATAGCAAGTGGTCACACAGAATTAATGTTGACAGAATTCAGAATTTCCTTTTTGGAAGACTATATTCAATTCTATTCTGATTTTTTTCTTTCTTTTTCTTTTTGGAACTCTGATTTGTAATCTCTCATTTCAGTTTTTGAAGCAAGAGATTTCTTGGTTCAGGTTGTCATTGTGACTTAGCTAAATCTTTTTGCCATTGATAATTTGTTTATGGTCATAATCTTTTTGCCATTGATAATTTGTTTATGGTCATTGGGGATGTACCTGTTATGTACAATTTGCCAGTCTGTGTGTAGAAATATAAAAATGAGTAAAGCAGTTCTAAAAGTTCATAGTTTATCCAATAGCATTCATTACTTATTTATTTTGAGCTTTATTTTGGTATCAAAATATGCTAAATTATGATCACCTCACCTGAGTTTAATAATCAGTAGACCATGTGCATATGAAAAAAAATAGGTGAAAAACAGAAAAACAAAACCATGTAGTATTTAGCTGGAGGTGATTTTGATTAATGGTAATGGGGTAGACTGAGGTCAAAATAGGGGATTTCTAAAATATATTTGGGCTGGGGGTGCTCAGTGGAAAAGTATTTGCCTAGCATTAGCAAGGTTCTTGTTTGAATCCCTAGTACTGCAGAAAAAAAAAAAAAGCGACACAGACAAGGAAAGACATTCATTTTTTCTGAAAGGAATGGAAGACTGAACAGAGGAAGCAGAAGACTATTTTCCTGTGTTTTGTAATGCCTGGAGATTAATTTGGCTTTCAAGTGTGTTTACAATGGCCTATCAGAAGTGAAATTTTTTTCTCTCCTAGAGAAATAATTTGTAAGTTCAATTTTTTTCCTGCTTTTGAAAATGGATAAAAGTTTGATTTGAAATGCATTTTAGGTAGAAGAACTGCGTACACAACTTACAAAGGCAGAAGGTGATCGGAAGGGTTTGCAGCATCAAGTATCTCAGATTTCCAAGCAGTGGTCAAACCATCAAAATGAACAAGTTGATGACTGGAGATTTAGAAGAGGTACGACTGTGATTTGTAAATATGTGGGTTTCCCATTTTTAGAATTGCACTGTTTGTGTTGAGCTCATGTCATCCAGTCTTATGTCTTGATCTACAAACTTCTTTAACAAGTTAATCATAATTTAGAATCCAATTTGAATATCTTCTCTGCTTCTAAACCCATTTCTGTTGTCAGACCTGCTTATCTGACCAGACTTTGTCTTAGAAAGAGCCTACAAAGCAGTAGTGGAAGTTTTTTGATTTTCCTTTTTCCATTCGTGTGTGTGTGTGTGTGTGTGTGTGTGTGTGTTTGTATTTATCTTTGGACCTAAATACACCTTGTATATATACCTCTCTTTTTCACTTTCCCTTGTTCTAATTTTTAACATTAAGATCTTTTCTTTTTTGTTATCTGGAGATTGGAGACAAATCTCCCAAATACTTATGAGTTATACTGCTGCCTTTTTCTTATGTGTACTAGGGACATTTTGTGTTTGATACCTTTCAATAGAACTATTAATTTAGATTGTAGAATTTAATAACTCTGGGTGTATTTTGCTTTTGGAAGTTCAAGTTTATCAAAAATGGTGATATTGAGATTTTATAATGCTTTCACATAAGTATGTTGAGATTGCTCAGTTTGTAAGTTATTCTAGTAATGAGGCTTCCTACTTAAATACAAAAATTACTAGACAAAATTTTTGTTTTTGTTTTGTGATGCTGGGGATTGAATCCAGGGACTGAGCATGCTAAACATGTGCTCTACCACTGAGTACCCCAAAGCCCCTAGAGAAACTCTTGTAAATCAGGGAAGGTAAATATTTCCCCAGGCTTCCCAAACATAATCCAGTATGTTGTCCAAGCTAGAATTTCCACATTGCTAGAAAAATCTGCAACAGATGACAGTTATCTTAATATATTTGTATGCCACTAAGTTCACTTAAGTTTCTGTGATAAAAAGTAATTTGATATAAAATATTACATATTTTCATAGTAAAGTGTTTAGCTATTAGATTGTTAATCAAATTTCCATAAAGACACATAGGTAGTCTCATATTGGGAAAATAACTCTGATGCATTTGGTATGTGTTTTTATACCTCATAAAATCTGGTTATTTTCAGTGTATTTTTTGATAAATAGAAAAGTGTATCTTACCAGATTTTTAGAAAAGTCTGCCTGAAAATTCTCCCTTAAATGTAATAATGGATTTCTTTACTTTTTTAATATTCTAGAGCTTTTTCATCTTTGTAGAATATTTGGATTATTTAAAGACAATGCCACAGAAGAAATCATTCTAGTTGTCACACCTAGCTGCTGTTTGTTCTTCTGATCCCTGTAAGCAGAAGTTCTACCTCTGCTTCTAAAATTGTCTTTGCTTGATTTACTCCTCAGTCAAGTTCAAAGTTATCTTCATTACTTTTATCTGTCCCCTGTTTATTTCCTCTTTTTTCCTAAAGCTCTTCACTGACTTTGTGGCCCTTGTCTTTTCCTAGGTCTTCTGCCTTAGTTGTTAATATTCTTTTTATTTGAATATTTTCCCTTTGTTTATAGTTTAGTCTTTAAATGTTGATTTTGTCTGGTGTCCTATTCGTGGTTTCTGTTACTTAGTACAACACCCTAGAAGTCATTACTTAATCTTATGCTTTAAGTATCACTTATAAATAATAATCCCCAACTCTGGTTCCATTCACTATCCTAACCTTCAGCCCTCTAGATGGAATTGCTATTGATTATCTCCATAAGGTAGTCCGTAGAATGCTCAGTCAACAGATTGGCAACTGAGTTCATCCTCTCTTCTGAGTCTGTTTTTTCCATCTGTTTCAGTTGATGGCTTCATCCTCAATCTATCTTAAAGCACAAAGAGCATTCAAAATTATTTCTTCACTTCTCCTGCTAATTAATCTCTACATTCTGTCTATGAGTCTCTTGAATTTGCCCCATGCTCTTTCTTATTTCCACCACCCCAGTTTACACATGCTTCTCCTCACCTGTACTGCCCTCTTAACTTGTCTTACTTTATTCTGGCTCTACAGTAAGCTGTCTTCTAAGATACTGATTATTTTTCTCCTGGTTAAAACCTCTTACTAGAATATATTGAATTATTACCACATACAAAGCTATACACTTCACATTGTCCCCCTTAATTCACACATGTATTCTCAGAGAAAGTTCCCACTATTTCCATTTTAATGATTAAAAATAATGTAGAACAAACATATTGAATAAATTCCCCAAGATCATATATGTAAGAAGTAGCAGACTTACTCTTGCTCTTTTTAAAATTTTTGTAACAGAGTACCATTTACTGGGTACCACTCTCATAATACTCTCATAATAACTAACCAACTCCCACAATAATGGCAGTGATCCATCAGTGAGAGTGGAGCCCTCGTGACCTCATCACACTGGAAGGGAATTCAAACCATAGCAGAGACCCAAACATCTCCACCAAACTCAAGCTCCTAATTGCTATTCTGTACTATACAAGCATTCACCAAAATGGAGTATATGAGAGAATCTTCTAGATATGGGAGAACAATGTTTATAGTATTATTTTTAGTTTCTTCTTTATGTTTAAAACATTCTAACTTTGTTAAATATTTCATTATATATGATGTGTGTGCAACTATAGGCATAATTATATACATGTACTAATATTTTGTATGTTTATATACATTATGAAACAATATTCTATATGTATTTGTATCAAATATGTACATATTTCATAAAGTATACATTGTATGTGTATGTGGTTTACATTTGTGGCTTCACATTTTATGTAAATGTATTGATTATTAGCATATATCCATAATGTATGGCATATATACATATATTATATGTATTAATATATTAGTGGTACTGAAATGTTACATGCATACATATGTGTGTATTACATATGTATGCATTTTTATAAAATGGGTACCTATATTTACATATAAACATGTACAATTTTAAGGTTGGAGACTTGTAAGAATGGGCAAAGTAGGGCCCAGGACCCAAATCCGGAGTGCCATCTGCTTTTATACATAGTTTTATTAGGACACAGCTACTCTTGTTCATTTACTCATTGTCTAGGTTACTTTCACAGTACAATGGCAGAGTTGAGTAGTTGTGATAGAGATTATATGGTTAAAACTTATTATCTGACTCTTTACCCAAAATTTTGCCATGTAAATTGGTCTGCAGGGTTATTGAAGAGCCATATTTTCTTCCATTCCATTCCAGTGTGTACAATTTTGAACACTTCAATATTTCTGAATTTGGAATGCATTTTATATTTGATTTGGTAGTATTTTCTTCAATCTTTTCTTTTCTGGAAAGGAAACTACTGGAAACACAGTAGTTTTGAATTGAGAGTACATATTCTAGTTGCTGACATTATAAATTAAATACTTTATTTATGTGCCTTGTCTCTATTCTTTGGATGGGTATTTATGTTATGCATTTTTGTCTTAGAAAAACATGATATTATGTAGTGCCCTGTGCATCATCAACTATGTATTTCATGTTGAATTAAGTACTAAGTCATTTTCATTCCATGTTATAATTTCAGGCAACAGCCTCCTGAATTAGTGAGAATTAGTTAATTGGTAAAACTGCACAACATTTGTTTATGTTGTAAGAAAAGCATTTTGTTGTGTGAGCTTCAATAACTGCAGTTAGATATGGTAGCTTCGTTGAAAATTCTTTCAGTATTTTTATTCAAAAGTTTGGAGCTAACAGAAATGTAAAGAAAATAAAGTGTGTAGTATCTTCACAAAATACTAGAAATCGGGTAACATTTAAAATTTTAATACCAAAATAGAATAGTATTGGATGACATAACAATGTGAGATTTGAAATAATAGATTGGCTAAGTCTGAAAGATCTGTTGAATGACTGTTGATAAGTGGATTTTGTTAGAATTTTAGAGCTTCAGGGCTTAGTACCATTTGAAAGTTCACTCTCCTGTGAATAAAGAATAACCATTGAGCTTTACATTTTCTCTCTTAAGGGGTAGAGTGGGAAAAACAGGAACTGGAGAAGCAGATGTCAGATTTGAAAGTGCAGCTGAACTTCAATTCACTGGCATCTGAGTTGGAGGAAGTGAAGCGGTGCATGGAGCGAAAAGACAAGGAGAAAGCAAATTTGGCAGCAGAAATAGAGGTGATTTTGCTACTTTTAGGCTGTATTTGAAAGACTTTAATTTTATTTAGTAGAATTGTTTAAAGAAATTTAATGTATTATTTTGTAAGCTCTAGTTTGGATATAGATAATGCACAGTTGTGTAAATGACTAATTTAATTGCATGTAGAACTTTCTGTGGTTTTTGTTTTTCTTTTATTGGGGACCCCAAAACCAAGCCAGGAACCTGGGTTGTTTCCCTTCACCATTTCACAGTGAAATATTTTGTTATAATTAAACTTGAAAATATTTTTGTTCTTAGTAGCAACTGAGCCCTTCCTAAAGACAGAGGGATCTTTCTTCTCTGTGATAACTTTGAATTACCATTTATTTTGGTAGTGAAACTGGAAGATGGCATAGTGAAAAGGATCAACTGACATTTCTTCTTTGGAATCACAAAGGTTTTCAAATTTCTAGCCATTCTACATGAGATAGAGCTGTGATACCTTCATGAACTAGAGTTGTGTAGTGCTTATGAATATGTGGTAACCATGAATGAAGTGTAACTAGACCGCTACCAGTTCCTGCTTGCCTTTTATCTAGCGTAGATGAGGTAATTATTGGAATACATTAAAAAATCAAAGGAAGGCACCTTATAAAAGGAAATGGCTTAATTCTAATTATAATTATGCAAATGAGATTAAACATAGATGACACATTTGGAAATAGATATGTATCAGTCCTCCTCTGAATCTGTTTTTAGTGCAGTTGTGCTCTAATTGTAGTAAGTTGCAGCATTTGAAGATTTTTCACAATTATAATGAAAGGTAGAACATTTCGTTATAAGGTGTTAAGGCACCTAACTTTATATAACCCAAAGGAAATATTTAATATTACTTAAGTCTGTGTTTCTCTTTCATCTTGTTAGCACATCAATACAAAATGTCTTTTAGATTTGACTCAAGATTCAGATGGTACAGACAATAAAATATTGACATTCTCTTTATAAAGCCCTCTATGTGTTTATAAATACTAATCCAAAATAGTTTCAGAACAGTGGTAATTGTTTGACTTTGAAACTTTGCTTCATGAAGGGCTGGGGATGTGGCTGAAAGGGGAGAGCACCTGTCTAGCAAGATGAGGCTTTGAGTGTAAACCCTAGTACCACCAAAAAGTTAAAAAAAAGAATTTGCTTTCTGTGTATTAGTTTGGCCCTTGATCCTGCTGATGAAAGTGTTAAATATTATTTTGCTGAAGTTAAGTATTTTTTTTTAAACTATGGTAATAAATATCACAGGTTAAAAAAAAAATCCTCTTGCTAGCTGTTTGTAACTACATGTTGGTCCTTTCTTGTCTTCTCCATTTTTTCTTACTTCCCATGTTTTCTTATTTACCAGTTCTAATATAAATTTGGAAAAAATCTCAAGTTGTTATAAATTGGCATTTTACAATTATTTGTAATAGCCTAGTCATGCTTTTATTCCAGGAGCCTGGTTTTCCTCTGTCCTAACTTAGTAGTCTTTACTAGTCATTTTCACATTGGGAAGGGGAAGAAATTGAGTTCTCTTAGATTAGTTTGGACTGGTTGCATAGGGTTTGGTTTGCAAGGCAATCGGATAGAGAGGTTTTTACTCACATACACAGTATTATTAACTCTTTACCACATGCCAGTCACTGGTCTTGGTGCTGGCGATATAGCAATAAATGAAAATCTAGCTGATTCCATGTCTCTTGTAGTTTAATTCAAATTCTGGTTTAGAAATTTCTTTACTATGCCTTTCTCCTAAGGACACATTCCTTTTGAAGAATGAGGATTTTTTTTTTCTCCACAGTAGCTGTTGAAAACTATATCACAAATGACAGTGTTCATCCATGGAAGAAATTATTGGTTTTATTTTTTTGAATTTTCTTACTTTTAATGACAAATTAATAAGATTTACATCAGTTTTCAATTTTAGCAACACTTTTGATTTTGCATTATTTTTTATATCTTTTGGAGGCCTTTTGGATATCTTCTATTCCCAAGCTTTTTTCAAAGTGATATCTAGTTATAGATCACACAATTATAACCTCTAATAGATGAGAATGTCTTTGAAATGTAATTGAATATTGTTTAGTTTCTGCTTTATTTTTAGAAAATATTAGGCAGTATTGGATATTGGGCTATTATAATCTTATGCATTCTATTAGAAAATAGAGATTAGTCTCCTTTAGTTGGTTTTTAGAAACCAAATGGATATAAAAATGATGCAGAAAATGTGATTATTTCAGGTCCAAGAATGTTTGCAAAGTAACAGTTTTTATGATTTGCTTAATCATTAATGTCATTTCTTTTTAACTTTGACTTTCTGACAGTTCTCCTACAGGGCCTTGTACATAGTCTTGTCAAATAGTTCACTTTGTCTTAAACTTCCCTTCTCATTTTCATCCTTTTTTTTTTTCTTTTTTGCCTTTGTTCCAATTGTTCAGTGCTTCTGTAATATGTTATCTTTTTGTGGTGATCCTAAACTTTCCCTCTGTGAACTACTTGGATTATATCAGATATAAGTGATAATCCCTCTTTCTGAATAAGATTTTTGTCTGCATCACTGATGTTCATCTGGCATCATTCTTACTTTATCTTAAAGTAATCTGTATTTTCTTCAAAATTTCAAAGTGGGTGCTAAAGAAAGTTTCTTAGAAAAGGTGCTACAAAGTTAAACCAGCGGTGCTGTTACCTAGACAGAGTTGACTCTGATATTTCTAGTTTGGTGAAGACGTCATGTTTCAAGGGCTTCTCCTCATACCTGGAAACTTGAGCTTTGTGTCTTCTAGAGTTAACGTGACCTGGGCAGCTGGCTCATATTAACAGTGCAACTCATTAGGGAGCAGTTTATAAAAGAGGGCCAGTTCTTTGATTTACCCTGAGGGAGCTCCACATAGATTTAAACAACAACAGCAACAACAACAATGAATTATTCTCTTGTACAGTTTCTCAGTCTCCAATTTTCTGTACCTAGGGATTGGAATTTCAAAACAAAAGTTTGCTTAGTGAGTTCAGCAGGGAATAATGATATCTAAAGGGCTGTTTGTTGCTGGCTATATTAAGGCTTCTTATTCTTTCACCTCCCTTTAACAGAGTCCTAACTCTGCTGTGTTTACCAGTTACAATTCAATTGATGTTACAATTCAATCTTGTGGCATTCTGGGAGCCAGTTACAAATTAAAGGGCTCTTTCCCTTTTCAGCTTATAAATGGGTATGGGTTAAAGTTAGGCTTATGCTGATGATGCCCTGCTTGTGTCATCACACAATGGCTAAAAACCCATATTATATGTTCAATTAACATTTGTTGACTGAAACAGTATTTTATAGAAAAATTTCATAAGAGTTTTTAAAAGCTAACGTTTCTTTTCAGTCATTTCTTAAAATCACATTCATTTCTGGAAGAGCTGTCAACTTCAAGAGGATCTTTGCTCTGTTTTACTAATTGCATTAGTTTTTGTTGATCAAGAATATATGTTTTAAGCAGTTTTACGCTGGAGGAAAATAGTAAAAGTAGCTCTTAGAAAATACAAATGGAAGGAAGTTATGTTTGAATTTGTATAATTTACCTTTCAAATTGAATTTAAGACCTTAAATCTGTATATGGGTAGAAAATACTAAGTGCATTTTTTTCCTTTCTTCTAAATGCAAGTTGAACCTCATTAACCTTGATAGGCTATTTGTATTCATAAGAATTCCAAGCATCCTTGATCAGTGATTTCCCTCATTTAATCTCTTTCTCTATCTTCCATCAACTTAACTCTTCTTGAAAAAAATTTGACTTTTAAATTCAACTAAGAACTTCAAAGAAAGAAAGGGGAAAAAAAAACCCAACATGTTGAACATAATTTAGATTAAATGTTGAAAGTGATAATTGAGTGACAAGTGACATGATTATTCATAAGCAGAAATTTATAGTACTGTAATGCCAGAATTTACTTTTAAAAAATAGAGAATAGTGAAAAAAATGATAGAGACTTTTTAGTAGAGACAGAGGGAAGGTTATTTCTTTTTGCATACTTTTAGCATTAATTCTTTGGATTCTTGCATTTCTATTATAAATCTGATCATTTTGTCATACAATAGTACTCCCTTCAGTACTACTTGTAGTAGCTAGAGTATTGGAGACCTGAGGTCTTAGAGACCTTAATTACTCTGGCTGTATTTTCGTGTTCTACCTCAAATTTAAAATCTCAATAACTTATTCCTTATCCAAGTGAATGTTGTAAAATAAGATATTACCTGAGTTCTAAATAATTTTGAATATCTAGGATAGATTATAAAGAAAAAATATTGACAGTAATGCTTTGTAGAGAGGAGCTAAACTTATCAACCTTGTAGAGAAGTCTGCTTCTGCTGTGAACCAAATTTAATCTAACATTGGGGCAATTTGCTAAGTCCATAAACGCTCTGTACTCTTGAGATTCTCAAAAAAAATGACTATTGTCAGAGATGCTCTGCAAGTAAAATCCTTAAAACTAAATTGACCTTTATACTTTCTGGAAGACTTGGTTTAATTTCCAAATCCTTCATCTAATATGAAAAATTAAGAGTTTTAGGAGTTGGGAAAAAGGTAGCTTTTCTTTTTGTATAGTTCTGTGAATGGTATGAATATTTCTATAAGGCCAGAAAGTTGAAGTCAACTGAGTATCTTAATTTTTTCTTTTGAGTGTCACTAATATTTGTTAAACTTTATCTATTTGAATGTGGCCAGTAAAACAATTTAGGAATAAAAATGTCTATTTTCAAGTTTATTTCCTGAAATAATGGTAATTTCTCATGTTTTTTTTAAAAAAGAATTCATACATATATAAAGATAAGAATTATGTGTATGTTTTGTGTGTATGTGTGTGAGAGAGAGAGACAGAGACAGAGATAGAGACATACATAGAGAGACGAGACTGAGAGCTAGGGAGAGGAAAAGTGTGAGAAGAGAGTGCAGAGCGCAATTAGAAGCAACTTAGGTTCCTCACAAAATGTGAAGTGATGACAACTGTTTATACATTATTCCTATAATCT